ATGTGTGTGTGCATGTGTGTGTGCATGTGTGTGTGCATGTGTGTGTGCATGTGTGTGTGCATGTGTGTGTGCATGTGTGTGTGCATGTGTGTGTGCATGTGTGTGTGCATGTGTGTGTGCATGTGTGTGTGCATGTGTGTGTGCATGTGTGTGTGCATGTGTGTGTGCATGTGTGTGTGCATGTGTGTGTGCATGTGTGTGTGCATGTGTGTGTGCATGTGTGTGTGCATGTGTGTGTGCATGTGTGTGTGCATGTGTGTGTGCATGTGTGTGTGCATGTGTGTGTGCATGTGTGTGTGCATGTGTGCGTGCATGTGTGTGTGCATGTGTGTGTGCATGTGTGCGTGCATGTGTGCGTGCATGTGTGTGTGCATGTGTGTGTGCATGTGTGCGTGCATGTGTGTGTGCATGTGTGTGTGCATGTGTGCGTGCATGTGTGTGTGCATGTGTGCGTGCATGTGTGCGTGCATGTGTGCGTGCATGTGTGTGTGCATGTGTGTGTGCATGTGTGTGTGCATGTGTGTGTGCATGTGTGTGTGCATGTGTGTGTGCATGTGTGTGTGCATGTGTGTGTGCATGTGTGCGTGCATGTGTGGGTGCATGTGTGCGTGCATGTGTGCGTGCATGTGTGTGTGCATGTGTGCGTGCATGTGTGTGTGCATGTGTGTGTGCATGTGTGCGTGCATGTGTGTGTGCATGTGTGTGTGCATGTGTGTGTGCATGTGTGCGTGCATGTGTGTGTGCATGTGTGTGTGCATGTGTGCGTGCATGTGTGAACATGCCATGTCAGCCATCCCACCCACAGCATATCTTCCAATGACGGCATTCCTTCACTCACACTGCACTGCCCTCACTCTGTCCTCACACTCTCCTCACACTCTCCTCACATCACACTCTCCTCACACTGTCACCACACCCCATTGCCACACACGCGTACTCAAGTCTGCCTATATCCATTCTGAATGCTTCGCCACTGGTGGTCCGCGTGTGTATGCTGGCAGGAAGTTGTCTCAAGCCGGCATGGAGTAGACTCACAAGTCACCCTTGTCTGTTCCAATCCGATCTGAACGGGCTCCCACTGTTGGCTTGGCCCTTATGTGTGTGCGCGTGTGCGTGCTGGCAGGAAGCTGTCACAAGCGGGCATCCAGTAGACTCACAAGTCACCCGTGTTTGTTCCAATCCGCTCTGAACGGCCACCCACCTCCCCTCGTCCTCGTGCTGGTGTGTGTGTGCTGTGTTGGCAGAAAGCTGTCTCAAGCCGGCATCAGGGGAAATCTCTCTGATCAGCTTGGCAGGCTCACCGCCCTCACCTCCCTGTACGCCCCCTCACCTCCCTGTACGCCCCCTCACCTTCCTGTACGCCCCCTCACCTTCCTGTACCCTCCCTCACTTCCCTGTATGCTCATACCCTCCCTGCCCACCCTCTCTTGCTTCCTACCCTCCCTCTGCGCCTCTCTCCCTCCGTGCCCTCTCTCTGGGTCCTCTCTTCCTCTCCCATCCAGTGGTTTGCTTGTAGAAACATGCTGCCCCCAATCTAGTGGTTTGATTGTTCGAGGTCATGCCGGAGTCACTGCTGAGAAGTCCCAAAAGCCTCTGCAGCACCTCTCCGCCCGTCCGAGTCACATCAGAAGTCAACCTAGTGGTTCATTCGTAAATACTTGTTACATGCTGGCCCCACGGTCACGCCTTGCCACTGCAGCACCTATCCGCCCTTTCTCCCTCCCTCCCCTTCTCCAACTGCCTTGCATTGCACATTCCCTTTCTTACCCTCTTGATACTCTAGACTTCCACCCCTCTACTCAGGCCCTCTTGTCTGTCTTCCTGACCAGAGAGTATCCCTTCCCTCGCATATGTTACGCCTCTCTTCCCTCGCATATGTTACGCCTCTCTTCCCTCACATATGTCTCACTGCCCTCTCACCTCCCTCCTCTTCCATGTACCATACTGTATTATCCCCCTCGTCTCAAACCCCCCCTCTGGTGCCCCTCTCCTTCCGCTTATTGTCCCTTGTCTCTCTCAATTCTCGCCCCTCGCCCCTCGCCCCTCTCACTCCCCTCGCCCCTCTCACTCCCCTGGCCCCTCTCACTCCCCTGGCCCCTCTCACTCCCCTGGCCCCTCTCACTCCCCTCGCCCCTCTCACTCCCGTCGCCCCTCTCACTCCCCTCGCCCCTGGCCCCTCTCGCTCCCCCCGCCCCTCCCCTGGCAGGCAGCACGGGAGTCAGCTCAACGGCTCCCTGCCTTGCCTTCCCCCTCACACATTCCCCCTCCCCCCTCCCCCCTCACCCTCCTCCCTCCCCTCTTCCATCCCCCCTGGCAGGCAGCTGGACGGCAATCAGCTCAACGGCTCCCTGCCCTGGTCCCTGGGGGACCTAACCAACCTGCAAATCCTGTGAGGCCCGTCAGAGATACTGTGCCCTCTCAGCTGAGGACCTAACCAACCTACCGTAAATCCTGTGAGGCCCGTGAGAGATACTGTGCCCTCTCTGAGCCTCTTTTTGAGGCCCCTCAAAAATCGGCTCGTGCGAGATACTGTGCCCTCTCTGAGCCTCTTTTTGAGGCCCCTCAAAAATCGGCCCGTGCGAGATACTGTGCCCTCTCTGAGGCTTCTGGCATGGCATGGGATGATTCTCCCTGCCTTGCTCCCTGCCCTGGGGACCCTGACCAACCTACAAATGCTGTGAGGCGTGTGTGGGATAATAGGTTGATAACCACGTGGGGTTTCTGGGGCCCCTGGAGGGGACCCTCTCCAACCTGCTGCAACTGTTGTGAGGCCCTTAAGAGATGATATGCCATGTGAGATTATACGCCGTGTGAGATGATACGCCATGTGATGTGAGATGATATGCCATGTGAGACGATACGCCATGTGAGATGATACGCCATGTGAGATGATACGCCATGTGAGATGATACCCCATGTGAGATGATACGCCATGTGAGATGATATGCCGTGTGAGATGATACGCCATGTGATGTGAGATGATACGCCATGTGAGATGAGACGATACGCCATGTGAGATGATGCGCCATGTGATGTGAGACGATACGCCATGTGAGATGATGCGCCATGTGAGATGATACGCTTTTTCTCTCGTTCTGCCTTCCCACCTTATTCTTCCCCCCCTATCACATCTCACTTATCCGGCCCCTCCTCTCCCAATGTACCAACAACATTTGCAGCGATGAGTTCCCAAGCATGCAGCCTCACTCACTTTACCCCCTAGCAGCCCCTGACTCGTTACAACCGCACACCACTTCCCACAGTCCATAGCCTTCCTCCTGCTCCAATATGACCCAGGAGCAACTCCAGCACACTCAAACACACCCCCCCCTCCCTGTCTTCGTGTTTGCAGCAATATGGGCAGCAACAGGCTCACTGGCAGTCGTTGATTCCAGACAAAAATCCCCGCCCGGTCCTGCTCCCCCATGTGTGTGTGCAGCAATCTGGGCGGGAATCAGTTCGAAGGCATGGTACCAGCATCCATCACGAAACTCAAGCACCTTCACACCCTGCGCGTGCATCTCTGAAAAGGGGGGGAGGGGATGATCAATCCAACGCTCACCTGTAATGGCAACAACCCTAAACCCTGTGCGTTCATTTGTGGGCGGATGAGGTAAGGACACGATTGAACGCATGATCCACAGCCCACCTTAAGCGGCAACAGCCTCTATGGCTTGGTGCCAGAGTTGATCACTAACCTCAAGTGCCTTCACACACTGTGCGTTCATTGCTGGGAGAGGGACGAGTGGAGGGAAGGACGGAGTGAGGGCGTGAGGGAGAGGGGATGAGGAAGAGAAGGGATGATCCATCATTAACCTCATGCACCTTCACGCCCTGTGCGTTCATTTGTGGGGGGATGAGGTAAGGAAGGGAGGGGCTGGATAAGGGGAGGCAACGGGCTCACCTCATCACGCACGCACGCATGCCGTCCACCGCCCACCTCAAGCAGCAACACCTCACACACGCTTAAACTAACGCTTGGTCCAACAGAGGCCGGAGACAGAGGAACTCATTGTTAAAGAAAAGTAGATAAAAAAACAAAACTTTTCGTGAGGATATTGAATTTTATATTTTTGCACCCGGGCACTGTGAATCAGTTTTGCAATTACTCAACAGCACTCATCTCATGTCAACACTCCTCTTCTCGTCTGTGGCCGTGCGGGCTTGTGCGTGCATGGTTGTGTCTGTTCGTTTCTGTGTCTACTTGGTATTCTCCATCTGTGTGTATCCGTCTGTGTGTGGTACGGTGGGGTATGGTCGAGAGGGGAGGAGAATGGCGTGTGTGAGTGGGGGGATGAATGAACCGTGAACGCCTGCTGTTTGCATTCACCAGTCGACTGGAGCGCAACGGATTCTCCAACTCTCTGCCTGCCAACTTCTCAGCGCTCACCAAACTCAGCCTCTTGTCAGTCCTTCCTCCCTTCTCCCATCTCATGCCTCTTGTCAGTTGTCCCTCTCTTCCAATGCCTCTTGTCTCTCGTTTTTGAGTCCACTCAACTCTCTGCCTGCCAACTTCTCAGCGCTCACCAAACTCAGCCTCTTGTCAGTCCTCCCTCGCTTCCCACGCCACTTGTCAGTCCTCCCTCCTTTCTTACGCCTCTTGTAGGTCCTCCCTTCCTTCCCGTGCCTCGTGTCACTCATTCTTGAGTGAAAGCATGTTTCTAATCGATTCAAAGACATGTCTTACATCTTCTCAGCACTCACCAAACTCAGCCTCTTGTCAGCTCTCTCCCTCCCTCCTTCCTCCCTTCCTTCCTGTGCCTTTTTCGCACTCATCCCTTAGCAGTCTCTCTCGCCACTCACCCCTTTCCAGTCCCTCTCGCCACTCATCCCCTCCCACTCCCTCTTGCCACTCATCCCTTCCCTGCCCCTCTTGCAAGAAAGCTTGCAAGTGCCATTCCTGCTTGTCCCCATGCCCATATTTCTCTTTCTCCTTAAGCCATCCCCGTTCTTGCAACCCTCCCCCCGTACCTCCCCCCCGTACCTCATCGCACTCATCCCTCCACACCACCACCCCCCGGTACCTCCCTCCCACACCTGCCCCCCCCACCACCTTCCCCCCCCCCACCTCCCCTTCACTTCACTGCACGGATGGCAGTTTCGCCAGCAACAACTCCTTCACGGGCCCTCTGCCAACCCACTTTGCTTTTGAGTCGACTCAAAAACCTTCCCCTCCCCCCGCACGTCCCTTCACCGCATGCATAGCGCGGCAGTTTCTCCAGCAACAACTCCTTCACGGGCCCTCTTCCGCCCTTCTTTGGCACCAAGATTGTTGAGGCGCCTCAAAAGTCTTCCCCCCCTTACCTCCCCCCCCCCCGCACCTCCCGTCACGGCATGCACGGCGCCGATGGCAGTTTCGCCAACAACAATTCCTTCTCGGGCCCTCTGCCGTCCTTCTTTGGCAGCATGACCAAGCTACAGGAGCTGTGAGTGTGCTGCCACTGAGTGAGTGCAGGAGCTGTGAGTGTGCTGCCACTGAGTGAGTGCAGGAGCTGTGAGTGTGCTGCCACTGAGTGAGTGCAGGAGCTGTGAGTGTGCTGCCACTGAGTGAGTGCAGGAGCTGTGAGTGTGCTGCCACTGAGTGAGTGCAGGAGCTGTGAGTGTGCTGCCACTGAGTGAGTGCAGGAGCTGTGAGTGTGCTGCCACTGAGTGAGTGCAGGAGCTGTGAGTGTGCTGCCACTGAGTGAGTGCAGGAGCTGTGAGTGTGCTGCCACTGAGTGAGTGCAGGAGCTGTGAGTGTGCTGCCACTGAGTGAGTGCAGGAGCTGTGAGTGTGCTGCCACTGAGTGAGTGCAGGAGCTGTGAGTGTGCTGCCACTGAGTGAGTGCAGCAGCTGTGACTGTTCCTACTACCACCCACCACTGTCTACCTTATGCCATTGCCTTTCTAGTAACGCCTACCTTGTTGACATTCACCACTTTTTCGTCATGCAATTATGCCAAGTTTTGTTACCGCGACCTCCTGAACCATCAAGATGTCTGAGTACCCTTTTTACTTGTTGAACATCCTATAGATGGCTGTAGATGGCTGTAGATGGCTGTAGATGGCTGTAGATGGCTGTAGATGGCTGTAAATGGCTGTAGATGGCTGTAGATGGCTGTAGATGGCTGTAGATGGCATAGGCAACACTCAGCTTGTTCTGGTTCGAATCCTTTCCTTGGCATAGGCAACATCCCTTGGCGCCCAGTTCCTTCCTTCCCTAACACTTGAACGCTCTCTCTCACAGCCCGTTTTTTTAATTCTCTCTCAAGGCAGTATTATTAATCTCTAAAAACCATTGTCCCTCTTGTCCACATGTTTGACACTGCTCTCGCACAGAAAGCTCTACTCCAACCCTATGGAAGGGTCGCTGTACTGTCCATGCCCTGCCATAACGCTACCCTCACCCACCTGCCTCGGTCACCTCACTCCATTCCACCCCACCCCACCCCTGCCCCTCACAGAAAGCTCTACTCCAACCCCATGGGAGGGTCGCTGCCGGAGTCCTTCTCGCAGCTCAAGAACCTCACCCACCTGTACGCCTCGTCACCCACCTGTACGCCTCCTCACCCACCTGTAGGCCTCCTCACCCACCTGTACGCCTCCTCACCCACATGTACGCCTCCTCACCCACACGTACGCCTCCTCACCCACCTGTACGCCTCCTCACCCACCTGTACGCCTCCTCACCCACCTGTACGCCTCCTCACCCACCTGTACGCCTCCTCACCCACCTGTACGCCTCCTCACCCACACGTACGCCTCACCCACCTGTACGCCCCGCCCTCCTGCTAGCTATGGCGTTTGTCGCCTGTCATTCAAGCCTTTGGACCAGCTCAAAGTGGTAAAGAGCCGTCCATCTCATGCCCTGCTCCTCGTGCCTCCTTCCAGTCATCCCATGGGCATGGCTCTGTCAGGCCCCATCGGGCCATCCCTTTTGCTCTCTGCCCCTCACCTCTTCCATCTCGCCCTCTCATGCTCGCCCCCCTCCCAGCCATCTAACGGACATGGGTCTGTCAAGCCGCATCTAAGGGTGTAAACAAATACCACTGTATTCGTATTAGTACTCGATATTCGACAAATATCAAATACAAAACAAATACAAATACCCCTTACTATTCGAAAGTATTCGACGTTTGAGTATCCGTTTAAGATAACCGTATTCGAATCCGTATTCGTTTTTACACACTTAGCCGCATCCCTCTTTCTCACTGACCCTCTCCTCCCCTCTCTCATTGTAGTCATCCTCATTCCCTTCACTTGTTAACACCACCATCGCACCCTCCCCTCTGTCGTGCTCGCCCCCCTCCCAGCCATCTAACGGACATGGGTCTGTCAGGCTCCATCCCTGACTCGTGGGGCCACATGACGAGCCTTCAGTACTTGTGAGTGTGAGCAGTGCATGTGAGTGTGTGCGGTGCATGTGAGTGTGTGCAGTACTTGTGAGTGTGTGCAGCACTTGTGAGTGTGTGCAGCACTTGTGTGTGTGTAGCACTTGTAAGTGTGTGCAGTACGTGTGAGTGTGTGTAGCACTTGTGAGTGTGTGCAGTACGTGTGAGTGTGTGCAGCACTTGTGAGTGTGTGCAGTACTTGTGAGTGTGTGTAGCACTTGTGAGTGTGTGCAGTACTTGTGAGTGTGTGTAGCACTTGTGAGTGTGTGCAGTACTTGTGAGTGTGTGTAGCACTTGTGAGTGTGTGCAGTACTTGTGAGTGTGTGTAGTACTTGTGAGTGTGTGCAGTGCTTGTGAGTGTGTAGCACTTGCGAGTGTGTGCAGTACTTGTGAGTGTGTGTAGCACTTGTGAGTGTGTGCAGTACTTGTGAGTGTGTGTAGCACTTGTGAGTGTGTGCAGTACTTGTGAATCGTATTCGTGAGTGAGCCTACAGATTGAATGGTTCAGTTAACTAGAATGACAGAATTGTGGATCACATGAGGACCCTGAAGTTACTGAATACTCAGTCTGGATGTTTGGGCAAGGGAAGGGAGGTCTCAAGGGTTTTCATAAAACATGGTGTTGAGAGACGTAGGGTTGGGATGAGGACTTGATATTTACAAGTTGGAACCATCGAGACAAATTCGAGCCCTCCGCACCACAATAATGGAGACTCCATCCATATTCAGATTGATCGGACTGTACATTCTAGTCCAACCCAGCCGGTCATGTGAGGAATCAGCTGTACCGTACCTCTGTGTCTCAGCACATGAGGGAGGAACACAGCTCACCAGGACTGGTGGTGGGTGGTCTACAATCCGCCTCATTTTCCCCCCCTGCGTGTTGAGTTCTGGCTTTGCTAGGATCGAGCTCTTTCCCTGCACATCTCACTCCCTCATCCATTCCCATCCATTGAGTTTTGAGACATCGCAAGATGCTAGAATTGAGCTCTTTCCCTCCATGCCTCTCTCCCTCATCCCATGCCGTTTCTCTTTCCTCCATTGCCACCCCATCCATTCCCCTCTGCCAGCCATTTGAGTCGCAACAATGTCTCGGGCACACTTCCAATCTCGCTGGGGGAACTCACCAATCTTGTTGAATTGTAACCAAATTACCATTTGTAACCATCTCTTGACAGCTGTTCCAAATTGATCGTCTACCCAATCCTGTATGGAACTCGCCTCACCAGCGTGGTTCTTTGTCAGAGTTTCACCAAATATTGAAACCTCTTTATGGCCGTGACCATCTCACCAACTTCAGACATAGAAATGTCTTGAAAAAAAGACTTTATAATAATCCGCATGATAATCATCGAGTTTTGAGATGTCCCAAAACTTTATGAAACCTCTTTCTTTGTGACCGTGCGTGACCATCTCATCTCACCAACTTCGTTTTAACTTTTATCGTGACTGGTAAGCCAGCCAGCCTGCCATGTGCTGCCCACTCCAACACTGTCAGCCGATGGCCTCATGAAGTCACAGACCAGTCAGCTGGTCTCTTAAACGGTCTGTCTGTTCCGTCCTTTGCTTCTTTGGCTCCAGCATTTTCTGTTCTGCCTGCCCCTCTCTCACGTGCCCAATGCCCTCTCCCCTTGTGCCCCTCTCTCAGACGCCCTCTCCCCTCTCAGACGCCCTCTCCCCTTGTGCAGCATCCGTCTTTCTTCCTCTCTTTCTCCTCCCCTCTTCGCTTCTCTCCTTTTCTCTTGCCTCGTCTCCTCTCGTCTCCTCTCTTTCCCCCCCCTCCCCACACTGCATTGTGCCTCTCCCATCAGGTCTCTTAACCACAATCCGTTGCCTGAATACCTGCCTGCCTGTCTGCCTGCATGCCTGCATGCCTGCCTGCCTGCATGCCTGCCTGCCTGCATGCCTGCCTGCATGCCTGCCTGCCTGCATGCCTGCCTGCCTGCATGCCTGCCTGCCTGCATGCCTGCCTGCCTGCATGCCTGCCTGCCTGCATGCCTGCCTGCCTGCATGCCTGCCTGCGTGCATGCCTGCCTGCCTGCATGCCTGCCTGCCTGCCTGCATGCCTGCCTGCATGCCTGCCTGCATGCCTGCCTGCCTGCATGCCTGCCTGCATGCCTGCATGCCTGCCTGCCTGCCTGCCTGCATGCCTGCCTGCCTGCATGCCTGCCTGCCTGCATGCCTGCCTGCTTGCCTGCATGCCTGCCTGCCTGCATGCGTGCCTGCCCTCCCCCTTCCCCCTCACCAGGTCTGTCGGCCACAATCCGCTGCTGGAGGGCAAGCTGCCGCCCTGCTGGGCCACCGTTCAGTCCCTCGGCACTCTGTACGCCTCACTGCTCAGCTCTTCCCTCCGTGATTTCCCCCCATGCGCTCCCTCTTGCCCTGCCCCCTGCTCTCGCCGCCCTGCTGGGCCACCATTCAGTCCCTCGGCATTCTGTACGCCTCACTGCCCTGCTCCCTGCTCTCACTCTGCGCCAATACCAACCAAGCATCCACCATTCGCCCCCCCCTCTATCCCCCCTTTCCCCCCCCCATGCTCTCACACGAGCACACTCACCAGCACCAAGCTCCACTGCACCGCCCCACGCGCCCTGTCCACTCCTGCTGTCCCAGCACCAAGCATCCATCACCATTCTCCCTCCCTTCCCCCCCATCTCTCCCCCGTCCCCTCTCACAGCACACTCACCAACACCAAGCTGCACTGCCCCACGCGCCCTATCGACTCCTGCTGTCCCGGCACCCTTCAGACGGACCTGCCCTACTGCTCCCTCCTCTGCCACGACTTCTGCAAGGCCTGCCAACCACCAGGTAACCCTCTCGCACTGCCAACCACCAGGTAACCCTCTCGCACTGCCAACCACCAGGTAACCCTCTCTCACCCGTTCTCCCTCTCCCACCTGTCACCTGCCCTACTGCTCCCTCCTCTGCCAAGACTTCTGCCGCGATTGCCAGCCACCCCGTAATCCTCTCTCTCCCCCAATTGTTTGGTCACTCTCTGTGGCACGCAGTGGTTCAGGCCAGGCCAGGCCCGATGTGCCTGCTGCATGCTGCACGCTATGGCCACACCTCTTGTCTCCACTGCCCCTTTATATTCTCTTTGTTCCTTCATTCATCTGCAAGTTGGTTCATTTCCATTTCATGCCTGCCGGTCACGCACTGGGTGGGATTCATCTCACCCTGTCATTAGCTGCTCCCAGCTCTGGCAGGTTGGGTTCTCATCCTGCCTCGGTTCTTCACCTAAGCTCTACTCTCAATGCCCTAAATTCTTCTCCTGAGCTCTACTCTCAATGCCCTAAATTCTTCTCCTGAGCTCTACTCTCAATGCCCTAAATTCTTCTCCTGAGCTCTACTCTCAATGCCCTAAATTCTTCTCCTGAGCTCTACTCTCAATGCCCTAAATTCTTCTCCTGAGCTCTACTCTCAATGCCCTAAATTCTTCTCCTGAGCTCTACTCTCAATGCCCTAAATTCTTCTCCTGAGCTCTACTCTCAATGCCCTAAATTCTTCTCCTGAGCTCTACTCTCAATGCCCTAAATTCTTCTCCTGAGCTCTACTCTCAATGCCCTAAATTCTTCTCCTGAGCTCTACTCTCAATGCCCTAAATTCTTCTCCTGAGCTCTACTCTCAATGCCCTCAATTCTTCTCCTGAGCTCTACTCTCAATGCCCTAAATTCTTCTCCTGAGCTCTACTCTCAATGCCCTAAATTCTTCTCCTGAGCTCTACTCTCAATGCCCTCAATTCTTCTCCTGAGCTCTACTCTCAATGCCCTCAATTCTTCCCCTGAGTTCACGTATGAACTCTACTCTCAGCTCAATGCACCGTACCCATGCCTGATCCCTTGTGTGGCCTGCCCCCAGTGCTGTCTACAGAAGACATTGTACCACAGGCATCGTGGTGAGCTGTGTGGCACTGCTGCTTGCAGCGCTGCTCTACATCTGTGTGCGTGGCACCTCCTATTTCTCTCTAATCCGACCAACCACTCTATCCCCATTCCCCTGCACTGCCTGACCACCAGTACTATCGACATCAGGCATAGCAGGCATTGTGGTGGGGAGTGTGGTGATTGTGATGGTCGTGCTGCTCGTATCGCTCTATGTGTGGTATTACTACTGGGGCCCTGGCAGCCGCAAGGGTGAGTGGGGAGAAGGACGAGTGGGGTGCAATGGTGAGTGCGGTGGGGGTGTGCGTGGGGTGGGGAGTGTGGTGTTGCTGCTGGCAGCGTTAGCACTGCTCGTATCGCTCTACGTCTGGACTACTACTGGGGACCCGGCAGCCGCAAGGGTGAGCACTTAGCCTGTAACCTGATGCAACTACCGATTTTCAAACAAGTTGCAAGTAGTGTATAAGTAGTGCCTATTAAATTCTAAACCTTGCAATGCGGATTCGAATCGGATATTGGCAAACCCAAAATGTATACTGAGTATGCACATTTCATGCTCAGTCTAGGGCGAACAGTCCATACCTTCTCTTCTTGAAATATTGGCGAACCCAGTTTCATACCCTCTACTTCTCTGGACATGAGCAAAAATCCGAACGCCTGTTCGGCTCGTCCGAACATGTTCGTGACAGAACCGAACCGAACATGCTTTTTGGCCACAAATGTTCGGCCGAACATGTTCGATGTTCGGAAGGGGGAGGAGGAGGCCCACTGAAAACACACTCTCGAACCTCGAACATGTTCGGGTTCGCCCCGAACATGCAGTTTTCGCGCCCCTATCACGAACACCGCACACCTAAAATCGCCTAAAAAATGTTCGGGCGAACCGAACATGTTCGGTTCGCCTACAAGACATGTTCGTGGAGGTTCGGGCGAACATGTTCGGTGTTCGCCCGTTGCTCATGTCTATCTCCACCCTCTCGTCTTCTCCTCCATAGCTGCTTCCCCGCCTTTTGTTATTCCCCGGTTCCTCTTCATCCCTTCCACCCTCTCTGCTTTACTGCCCTCTCATCCTCTATCCCGTCCACTGTGCTCACCGGTCCTCTGTGTCCCCTTTTTCCTAGCAGCGTGGGAGAGGGAGCTGCAGCAGGGCTTCAGGAGGTACTGATGGTGCCGCTGCTCTATCCCACCTATGTGCCTCCCCTCGCCCCCTCCCCTCCTTGGGTAGCATGGGAGAGGGAGCTGCAGCAGGGCTTCAGGAGGTACACGTGGAGGGAGGTGATGGAGGCGACCAACCAGCTGAGCCCCGACAACCTTCTCGGCAAGGGCGGCTTCGGCTCCGTCTACTGGGGCGTCATAGGCGGGTCACAGCAGAGCGGGTGGAGCTCGCGGGTGTGGAAGAGAGCCGAGGCCAGCAGCAGAACCAAAAGCAGTTTCATGAGCGGGGGAAGTGGCACGAGTGGGGGAAGTGGCACGAGTGGGAGCACAACTTCTCTGGTTGAAGCTGCTGCTGGTGCGAACGGTACGGGGTCGGGTGGCAAGATGGCCGGCAGCACTGATGGGTCGGACGGTGGTGTGCGTGAGTCGGGCGGCGGTGTGCGTGGGTCGGGCGGCGGAGTGTGTGGCGCGTGCGGCGGTGTCCATGTGGTGGGCGGCGGCATGGAGGTGGCTATCAAGCGGGCAGCTGCTGTGGAGCGATCGACCAGTATCGCCACCATGTTTGAAGAGGAGGTCAGTGGTGCGGTGTGGTGCGGTGTGGTGTGGTGTGGTGTGGTGTGGTGGCAATGGGAGAGGTCAGTGGTGTGATGTGGTGTGGTGTGATGCGGTCTGGTGTGGTGTGGTGGCAAGGGGGAGGTCAGTGGTGTGCCGAGGGGCCTGTGTGGCGATGTGTTGGGTATGGACTCGAGAAGGAGTTCAAGGTGCACAAGGTTGGGGTGGGAGCCCCTCAGATTTCAACTCTTTATCGAGCCTTTTCAATAAGTAAATGAGTGCTTCTAAATAGAGTCGATTCAGCTCGGCCCACATCTTGATGCTATGATGAGGACGAACCGTTGTTTTTGATAGCATTGGAGGGGGTATAAAAGTGATGAAGGAGGGTAAGGTGGTATGGTTAGAACTTTGTCAATATTAGTGGCCCCCACCGATTAGTTGGGTTGGAGAATTATTGGGAGGTTGGCAATTTTCTTGGTCAAGGTTTTGAGCCATGATATTTGGGGTTCCAATGATCTCCCAACCCAACCTTGAGGGTTAATATCTGGGCCAAGGTTGGGCTTTCAACCCCCAACTGTGGGAATCCTTAGTTGCGCACCCAAACTAAATATTGGATTCTTGACTCTACCCAAGTAATCTAGTATATATGCGGGATACAAAGAGGGTGATAATCTCACATCGGCTTCATTGGTCTCGACATGAGTTGGGTGTATAATCGACCTAAGTTGATTATTCATGTCACAACCACTTGGTCGTCGCCTTAGTGGCAAAAGACGCGTCCTGCGTCTAAGACGAGTGCGTCCAGACGCAGCGTCTTAGACGCAGGACGCATGATGTGGGTGGGCCTTTGAGACGCAGCAAAAGACGCAGGCCCGGGCAGGGAAAAAAAACCCCCGGGCAGCAAAAAAAACACGTTATAGGGCATGGGAAGGGGGGGGGGGACGACGTATCACACACGTGAGGCAAAAAGATAGCTATGGAGCGAAAGGTAGCACTATGGAGCGAAAGGTAGCTAAACCCTCAAGGTTTTACGAAGGAGAATTGTGTTCATATAAAGAGATGGAGCACAAATGAAGAGTTTGAGCTTCTAAATGGGCTTGGTGGTGGTCCACGATGGTTTGGTTTTCTAGATGTAGTTGGGTTGTGAGGGGTTGGGTTTACAATTTTGGTGATGGGGGGTTACAAATGTTGTGCGTGGGCTGTTTTTGATGGTTGAAATGGGTCTGGGGGGTCGAAATTTCGCGACATTGACATTCGCGTCGAAATCGGGAATGTCAACTTTGCGATCGGGAAAAAAAACAAAAAAAAAAACGGTCAGCCCGACAATAGTTCTGCCGTGCGTCCTGCGTCTGGACGCGCGTCCAGCATCCCTGCGTCCGGACGCTGCGTCCAGACGTAGGACGCATGACGCGCCCAGAGTCTTTTGCCACCTAGGTCGTCGCACTAAATGCCCTGCAACACCGTACCATCATGGCCCCATGCCACCATGCCGCCATGCCACCATACGACCATGCCACCATGCCACCATCCCACCATGCCACCTCACTTCTACGCCTTCACCACGCCACCATACCATGATGCCACCATGCCACCATGCCACCATACCATGATGCCACCATGCCACCATGCCACCATGCCACCATGCCACCATGCCACCATGCCACCGTGCCACCGTGCCACCGTGCCACCGTGCCACCGTGCCACCGTGCCACCGTGTCACCGTGCCACCATGCCACCATGCCACCATGCCTCCATGCCACTATGTCACCTGGCCCCCTCCCCTTCTCACCAGTGCCACCACGCCTGGCAGGTGAAGGCGGTGTCCAAGTTGAGCCACAAGTACCTCGTGCGCCTCCTGCCAACATGCCACACCACCATGCCACCACACCACCATACCACCATGCCACTCGGCCCCTCTCTCTCCCCCTCACGTACTCTCCCGGCTGTCCCCATGTCTGGCAGGTGAAGGCGGTGTCCAAGTTGAGTCACAAGTACCTCGTGCGCCTCCTCGGCTACTGCAACGAGAACAACGAGCAGGTGTGCCTTCGTGTGCCACCGAATTCGTGTGCCGCCAAATCCCTGTGCAGCGAGCACAACTTTCCCGTTTGTGAGTGCACGGACCTGCAACCATGCTGGAAAGTGCACGAGAGTGAAGCAAGAACGATTGGTCATGGGTACCCACGACAGATACTGGTGCGGATTTTTCCGCGTTTCGGGCTACAAACGCCCAGAATGAGCACTTTTCTTTGCTTTGAAGAGCACGTTTGTGAGTGCACGGACCTGCAACCATGCTTGATGGGGGGGGGAGGTGTAAAGTTCCAGTACTATTGCATCTATTAGAGCTCGAATTCCTAAATTCAACACACCAAGAACTAAGAAAACGATCGACTATGGGCGAAAATACACAGAAACACGTCTCACTTAGTTGCTCTATGGTTTTTAGTTTACGTATACGCATACACAAGAAAACAACGACATGATCCACGTGCGACTTGGGGCATCTTACCGAGCTTGAATTTCCTTGCAAGTGCTGATGTATGAGTATGTGCACAAATTTTGATCCCCTGGTTTGTCCCGTTACAACCCCCTCTCCAGGTGTTGTGTACGAGTATGTGCGCAACTGTTGCCTTCCTGGGTCATCCCATTACAACCCCCACCCGCCCCCCCCTCCCCCCCTCCTCCCTTCTCTCCAGGTGTTGTGTACGAGTATGTGCGCAACTTTTGTCATGAACCAACTGAGAAGTCATTTCCGCCTACCTCCCTTTCCCCCCTCCAGGTGTTGGTGTACGAGTATGTGCGCAACGGGCCGCTGAGCGACCACCTGTATGCCAAGTTCCAAGGGCACCTGCTCACCTTTGAGGAGTGCCTGGACGCGGGCTTCAGTGCCATGCCCCCCCCTCTCCCCCTCCAGGTGTTGGTGTACGAGTATGTGCGCAACGGGCCCCTGAGCGACCATCTGTATGCCAAGTTCCAAGGGCACCTGCTCACCTTTGAGGAGCGGCTGGACGCAGCACTAGGATTGGCGGAGGGGCTCAGGTACCTGCACTGCCACGCGGAGAAGCCCATTGTGCACCGCGACATCAAGCCCTGCAACGTGCTGCTCACAGAGGACTACCAGGTGGGTGGAATGCGGTAACAGGGTATCACAAGGTGCCAGTGAGAGGGGCTCAGGTACCTGCACTGCCATGCAGAGAAGCCCATCATGCACCGCGACATCAAGCTCTGCAACGTGCTGCTCACAGAGGACTACCAGGTAAGTGGAAGTCAATCACATGATATCACAAGGCAGCACATCACAGCAGGCGATTACCTGCTGCTTCTTAAAGCTTGTAGCAGCATGTAGCAAGTGAAAGGAACCTCTTATTCTTTCTGGTTTATGCTACATCACGTGCAACTCCAAATCTCTTAATAACATCTTCTAGTCACAATATGTTCAAATGTGCCTAAAACGAAAGATAGAGTGCACAGTGTTGCAGAAGACGCAGGACGCACTCTTAGACGCAAGACGCATGGGGGGTTTTTTTTCGGGCTCCAAAAAAAAAAAAAAAAAAAAAATCTCCCGCGCGAATTTGACAATCGCGAAATTCCCCCCCCCCCCCCCCCTACAAACGAATTCGACCGTCAAAAACAGCCCACAACCCTAAAACGAAAACCCCCTCTACCCAAATTTGCGCCACATCCTACTCAACCGCACATCATCTACTCAACCCAACCAAAGTTGCTTACCACCAAGTGGATATAGGAGCACAAATCGTTCATTTGTGCTCCTCCACTTTAGTTCAACCCAATTCTCCTTGGAAAACCCTTGGGGGTTTAGTTCTTTCCTCACCTATGTCCATCCCCCCTCCCCCCCCCCCCCCCCATGCCCCATTGGGGTTTATTTTGGCCTGTCCTAACTTTTTTTTAGCCTGCCCGGGCTTGCGTCTTTACCTGCGTCTAAAAAGGCAGAAAATTGTGTCCTGCGTCCTGGACGCAGCGTCTAGACGCACTGCGTCCAGGACGCAAGACGCGTCTTCTGCAACACAGGTGCACAGACGGATTTGTGCAGAGCGGTTTCAATCATTGTTAGCAAATTGGTCCTAGCACCAAATGATGAGCTATAAATTGGATCAGGAGTGACTTAATGTCGTCTACCATTAACAAATTGAATCACTTGATTTGATAAAAAAATGTCAACGTGAGAGTAGTTTGAGCGAACGGCGGTCTAGCAGCAACTATAGTCTAAGAGCACAACATAGGAAGAAGTTCGGATTGGGAATGACTCCGCCTAGCCTCTACAAACCCTAAGAGCCGAGGTCCAGGGAGGTGGACCACAGAGTCCCCAACTTCAAAACTACCCACCATAAGACGAACCGAAGAGGGGTTCGCCCATTTGCTCGTGTCTATATCCATCACATGCATACACAGATGTGTATACAAACACATCCATGAATACGCATATATACGCACAGATGCATGCACACACGCTCACTCGCACGCGTGCATGCAAACACATTCGTGCACATATGCTCTCTCCTGGCCCCACACGAGGTAAAAAGATGCATATATCCTCCCTGCCCCACCCCCACATTACCGGGTGTCGATGGTTGACGTAAAATTGCTAAGCACATGGTGTAAGATGCACACCATGTCTCACACAGACGAACCTTGACATCGTGCAGGTGAAGATAGCCGACTTCGGACTGCTGAGGCTGCTAGATGATGATGGCGAGGCCAGGGAGGCGCGTGTCAGATTATCATCTTCATTGTAACCTGCATCCTAAGCTTGGGTTAAAGATAGGCACCCAAACTTAGTTTGGGTGCACAACTAGGGTTAACCCTAGTTTGAGGTTGCAACCCAACCTTGGCCCAATTATTGGGTCCCCAAGGTTTGGTTGGGAGATTATTGGGCCCCCCAATATCTCTTCTACCCAACTTATTGGTGGGGGCCCAACAATGTTGGCAAGGTTCCCAACCATACCTCCCATCCTAGCTCAACTATGTATACCCGCATGTTTCCAAATGCAACTATCGGTTCTCCTTCAATCTTTGTCACAGCGCGTACACGTGAGTGGCGGGCACAAGCACACAGACCCACCCTCACAACCTGTCCCTCTCACGATCGTGCAGGTGAAGATAGCTGACTTTGGGCTGCTGCGGCTGCTGGATGATGGGGCGGCAAGGGAGGGCGCATACACACGAGTGGCGGGTAGACACAGAGACACCTTCATAGGATGCCTCACACGTATTCACACACACCCCTTGCGCCGCACAAACAAACCTTCTCATCATGCAGGTGAAGATAGCCGACTTCGGGCTGCTGCGGCTGCTGGATGATGGGGCGGCCAGGGAGGGCGCGTACACGCGTGTGGCGGGCACAAGGGGGTATCTGGACCCGGAATACATGACGTGTGAGAAGGTGTCTACAGCAAGCGATGTGTACAGGTGTGTGTGTACAGCAGTGGGGGGAGGGGAGGGGGGGGTGAAGGGTGGCGGTGTCAGGACCCTGAGTACATGACATGCGAAAGGGTCTCCACAGCAAGCGATGTGTACAGGTGGGTGGGAGTGGGGTGTGTACTGGTGTGTGCAGAGCAGACACGAGGGGGGGTATCATGTATCTGGACCCGCGGTACATGACGTATGAAAAGGTGTCCACAGCAAGCAATGTGATCAGGTGGGTGGGAGTGGGTGTGTGGTGTGTGCAGGTATGTGTGTGAGGTGTGAACAGGTGTGCGTGAGGGCAGTGTGTGCAGGTGTGTGAGTGCTTGCTCGCATGATCATGCTAACTGGAGGCCATGTTTGTGAATGGGCTTGCACTCCGGTTGCAAGCACAAAGGGAGTTCCAAATTTGTTTGCCGCATCGACACTCCTTGTGTTCACCCTCTCATTCCCATGGCCCAACACTTCCCAACTTTTTGTCCCCTCATTGTGTGCCTCTCACCCCGTTGGTGCATGCCTCTCATTCCCGTGTTACATGTCCCTCCCATCCATACCCTGCTCCTTCTCATCCCATGTGAACCACCCGCCACGGTCGAGGACCCATATTACCTCTCCAAGTCTGTCACATCTTTCCATGTCTCTCGACTTCTCTCCACATCTGTGCCAACCAGCTACGGTGTGCTGCTGCTCGAGATGGTGACAGGCCGGCCAGCCACGGCCAGGGACCCGGAGGATGAGAGCTGCCTTATCCATATCACCACTTGGGTGAGCTGTCATGTCCACATCACCACTTGGGTGAGCTGTCATGTCCACATCACCACTTGGGTGAGCTGTCATGTCCACATCACCACTTGGGTGAGCTGTCATGTCCACATCACCACCTGGGTGAGCTGTCATGTCCACATCACCACCTGGGTGAGCTGTCACGTCCACATCACCACCTGGGTGAGCTGTCACGTCCACATCACCACCTGGGTGAGCTGTCACGTCCACATCACCACCTGGGTGAGCTGTCACGTCCACCCCCCTTCATCTCCTCCTCCCCCCTCCCCCTCCCCTCCACCTGACAGTACGATACATTGAGAGAGTCGCCTCGCCTCACCTGTATGACACCTCACCAATTGTGCCATCCTCCTGTTATCCACCCCCATCCCTACTTATCCTTCCCCCTTCCACCAGGCAGTGCCGTACATTGATCGCAGAGAAGTTTGATTCACCTGCCATCTCATCTTCTCCCCTCCCCCGTTTCCGCAAACACCGCTTCCCCTCAGGCGGTGCATCGAGCGCGAAGAGATCTGAATCGTTTGCCATCTTGTCGTCCCCCCTCCACCTTCCCCCCTCCCCCAGGCGGTGCCGTACATAGAGCGCGGGGAGATGCGGGTGATAGCTGACGCGCGCATCGCCTCTCCTAGCCTCTCACCTATTTGTGCCACCCTCCCCCCCCCCCCCTCTTTCCACCAGGCGGTGCCATACATAGAGCGCGGGGAGGTGCGGGTGATAGCGGACGCGCGCATCGCCTCGCCGCTCAACCTGCCCTTTCTGCTGCAGATGGCGCGCACTGCCGCCCTCTGCGTGCAGCTGCCGTCCACGCGCCGCCCGGACATGGCTGAGGTGGCACGCGTCATGCTGGACGCCCGGAGAGGCTTCCATGCCGCTGCTTCTGCCGCTGCTGCTGGCGCCGCTGCTCTTGCCGCTGCCGGTTCTGCTGGCGCTGCTGGTGGGCCAGGGGTGCAAGGAGGCAGACAGGGAGGGGTGGGGGGAGCAGCAGCAGGAGGAGGAGGAGGAGGAGGAGGAGGAGCAGGGGTGATAGGTGGGGCTGCTGCACTGGCAGCGCATGTAACGAAAGGAATTACGGCTGGGGCAAGGGCTCTGGGGGGGAAGGGGGATGCGCAAGGAGGGGAGGTGGGGAGGAGTGGGAGTGGGAGTGGCAGGAGCGGTAGTGGGCATCTGGGAGGCAGCCTTAGGGTTATGCAGAGTGAGAGTATGAGGAGGTGGGTGCAGTACTTTGCAGGGGGTGGCGGTGCGAGTAGGAAAGAGACAGAGAGCTTTGAGGAGATCATGCCGAGCAGTACACAGGAGAGCTCAGGGAGAGAGTGGCATAGAGCGGATTCGGAAGTGTATGCGCGATAGTGAAATTTTAGTGTAATGTGTGTTGTTGCAAGTAAACAAGAAAATGACACATCTTGAAAGCTTAAGGTGTTTATTGGCTGTGTATATATACAAGAGCGGAATTAGCTTATGTAGGTTTTTCTCTGTGGAGACAGGTAACATCAGCCCTTCACGGTACAAGTCCCTGTAACAATTGAACGCCTTTTCAGGATTGAGCACAACTTTGTGGTTACTCCTTGACAAGGTGAGAACATAAAGGATGGGCTCTTATGAGGCGGAATAAAATATTTGTACAAATTCCCATGGGTCCCCTGTCAGAATGCTATAATTGTCTAGTCTGCAGTGGGGTACTCTATAGTGAGTACAGCCCAAATTATGGTTTGCTATATGTATCCTATCTGCTACTAGTGCAACCCTCTATTTTCTGTTTCTAACTTTCTTGCTAGCGTTTCTCGACATGCTATCAGAGCGAGAACGCTCCTGGCCTGTGGGTCCACCTGCTTCCGCTGCTGTCCTGCCTGTCGCGCGCCCCGGGCGCACGCGGCGGTTTCGTCGCCCGTCACGGCACCCCAGGGGCCCGCGCGCCCCCCCCTCCCGTCGCCCGTCGCGGCGGCCCGGGGGCCCGCGCGCTGTCCCCTCCCGTCGCTCGTCGCGGCGTCCCGAGGGCCCGCGCGCCGCCCCCTCCCGTCGCCCGTCGCGGCGCCCCGGGGGCCCACGCGCCACCCTGCCCGTCGCCCGTCGCGGTGCCCTGGGGGCCCGCGCGTCGCCCCCTCCCGTCGCCCGTCGCGGCGCCCTGGGGGCCCGCGCGCCGCCCTGCCCGTCGCCCGTCGCAGCGCCCCAGCTGCTGCCCGCGTATCTGCCCCGCGCCGCACGCGGGGTATGGGGGTGGCGGGTATGGGGGTGGCGGGTGTGTGAGCCGTCCCCTGCTCCTCCTCCTCCTCCTCCGTCTCCCACTGCTGCAGCTACCGCTGAGGGGGGTGGGTGTGTGGGAGCCGAGGGAGTGGCGCTAGGGGGGTGTCGTGGGAGTGGAGCTAGGGGTGCAGCAAGGGGTGTGTGAAAGGGGTGTGGGACAGTGGGGGGAGGTTGAGCGGAGGTAGCCGTCGTGATGTCAGCAGCGCCAGTAGTCTGGGGCCCTTGCTCCGGTACCCCAGCGAGCCTGCTGCGCCAGTTGCCCGTGGGTCCGTTGCTCCTGCCGCTCGTCTTAGCCGCGGAGCCAGTTACTCCTGTAGTCCGGGGCCCTTGCTCCGGTAGCCACCGTGTGCGCCGCTCCTGTTGCCCGTGTGTCTGCGGCTTCACCCGTCGCCTCCTATCTCCACTCCTCTCACAGTCCCTCCTCCTCATCACTTGCTTTCTGTGACTGCCTCTAGCTTTGCTTGTGCTTGTGAACTTCTTATGCGACTGCTTGCTGTGCTGATCATACCCCACATTGCCTATGGGGGTGTGTCAGAATGAAATAATTGTCTAGTCTGCAGTGGGGTACTCTATAGTGAGTACAGCCCAAATTAGGGTTTGCTATATGTATCCTATCTGCTGCTAGTGCAACCCTCTCTTTTATGTTCTTAACTTTCTTGCTAGCGTTTCTCGACACCTCCTAAATCCAGCAGTTACGGTACAGTGGGGCCTGTGCTAGGATTTAGGGCACCCTGAGCCCTCAGGGCAACTTTTGAAAACTTTCTAAAATGCCCTGTTTTTTTAGGGCAAAAGTCCCTGGTCATCCTGAAATTTCCGGGCACAAGCAGAAATTCATCTGGATGTTTCAGGGTAAAAATAGCAGGAGGGGAAGGCACGAGAGGAGCAGGGCCCACGATATGAGGGCAAAACATCCTTATTACCCTGATTCCAGGATGGTGTTTTAAGTTTGCCCTGGAATTTCAGAATGACGCTGAAATTCACCCTGTGACGTCAGGATGATTCACGTGTTTTGCCCTGGAACTTCATGTCAGAATCCACTAGCAGGAATGAATGGACTAGAACAAGGTTGGGTACAAATATGAAACCCTAAAGGGGCTATACCGCATATTGGCTACCCCACTACAGCCTACACACATATATAGCATATATAATTTGACACACCCCCATAGGCAAAGTGGGGGAGAGCAAGAGGTCACACGACCAGTCAAGAAAAGCAAAGCAAGCTCAGGGTGGATCACAACTTCACCACACACACTGAGCACAAGCAGAGGGCCACAAGGCCAGTTCACATGCAGAGGTATATATGCAACAACAACAACACAGTGATCACTGCCTAGCAAGAGTAAGCATGCAGGTATATATATATATATAGATCACTGTACAAGCAAAGTCTACAGCAAGTGAGGAAACGTGGGCAGAAGGCCTAACAAAGTACAAAAGCGTTGATGATCATCAGGTGGAAGTGCCTTGGTGAATATATCAGCAGTGTTGGCCCGAGTGGCCACGTGAGCAAGACAAAGCTGACCACGCTGCTGCAACTCTCGAGCAAGGAAGTAACGCAGAGCGATGTGCTTCATACTGTGCTCCAGTCTGTGCTCCTGACACAAGGCAATGGCGGCCTTGTTGTCTACGTACAGAACTGGAGGAGAACGAGGCCGCTCTCCCAAGTCGGTCAGCAGGTAGGTGAGCCAGCGTAACTCCTGTGCAGCCATGGCTGTGGCGTAGATCTCAGCCTCACAACTGGAGCTGAGAACAGAAGACGAGCGTGTAGACCGCCAAGAAACAGAGCCAGAGCCAAGACTGAAGGTGTAACCCTGCGACGACCGCTGCGTAGCCAGGTCGTCAACCCAAGAAGCGTCCGAGTGCCCAGTGAGGACAACGTCGCCCCGTCCTCCAAGCACGAGCCCCATGCCCGATGTACTGCACAAGTAGCGCAGTACCCTCTTAGCAGCATCCATGTGCACCTTTCGGTGCCTACCAGGAGCCACGTAGCAAGCCAGAAGGCCAAGAGGGTACGCAAGGTCAGGACGAGTGCAGGTCATCAGGTATATGAGGCAGCCAACTAGCTCTGGGTAAGGACCACTCGGCTCTACGGACTCGTCCGAAGGTGAAGCCGAAGCGCTGAAGGATCTGCTGCACCATGTGTGACTGAGTCAGTGTGATGGTGCGGCGTGCTCTGTCCCGGGTGATCTGCAAGCCAAGGTAACTGCGCAGCTCACCCAGGTCTGTGCACGTGTCTCTCTTCTGCAGCTCCGACTTCACCAGGGCGAGAGCCCCAGTGTCAGCAGTGGCAAAGACCAAGTCGTCGACGTACACGAGGATGTAGAACGGCGGCAGCGAAGTGTCGGTGCGCAGAAACAGCGACGGGTCAGCAGTGGAAGGAGCAAACCCAAGAGCCGCAAGTGTCGTCCTCAGTGTGTTGTGCCACTCACGCGGCGCCTGGCGGAGACCGTAGACTGGCCGCCGGAGGCTCCACTGGGTACCAGGAGGGAACGACCCAGTGAAGCCAGGTGGGCGGCGCAGCCAGATCTCCTCGTGCAGGCTGCCCTGTAAGAAAGCTGAAGTCAAGAGAGTGAAGCTCGTAGTCACGCTGAGCGGCAACGTGCAGCAGCACCCGAAGAGTGGTCATCTTCGGGGTGGGGGAGAAGGTCTGGAAGAAGTCAACTCCCTCCCGCTGACTGAAGCCTCGAGCAACGTAACGAGCCTTGAAGACAGGCGGAGAACCCGGCGGCCGCTTCACCCTGAAAATGCACATGCCACTGACGATGTTCGCCCCAGGAGGGGGAACCTCGTCAACGTAATTGCCTGTGGACTTCCAGGATGCCATCTCTGCGTCCATGGCTGTCTGCCACTGAGAGGAGTACTCACCCGCGATCGCCTCAGCGTAAGAGCGCGGGGTCGGGATGTCTGGAGCATCCGAGTCTCCCGCAGGGGCAAGCAGCATGGACACGAGATGAGGCGCAGCGGCTGCAAGACACTCAAGGTCCTCTTGCCTGTCCTCATGGACGTCCGTGCTAAGAGCACACTCACCCCCGGCGGACGGAGGACAGACAGACTCAGACTCAGCAACAAGACTAGCGACGTAGTCTAGACGACAGGCAGCAGCAAAGTCAACAAGCTCAGCGACTAAGGCAGACGCAGCAGCAGACTCAAACGACGGGTCAGTAACAACAGTGGCTAGCAGACGCGTGACAGTAGGGTGAGCAGCACGATCGCGGTCAGACTCACGCTCTGGAACCTCAGGCAGAGAAGACACAGGAGGGGATGGCAGGGGAACACGCTGCGGAGCAGAGGAAGGACGCAAGGCCATGAGGTGTGTGTCGGGGACAGCCGGCGGACGCTCACGAGGAACACGACGACCAGTACGACCAGTGCGGACAGTGCAAACAGGCGAGACAGGACGAGACGCAGGCTCACGACGCTCAGCAAGACCTCCTGTCTGCTCAGTGTAAGGAGAAGGAGCAGGCAGCGGTGAGCCAGGCTGTAACGGAAGACCAGTAGAAGACGGGAGGCTAAGAACCTGGCGAAGCACGGAGTCAGGCGGTGGCAGAGACGAAGGCGACGGCGGAGCGAAGAACAGTCGCGGCGGTGCAGTGCCACCAGC